ATGAAGGGTCCGTCTTTACCTTCCATGTTGTTCCTTTGTTAGATGTTTTCAACGAAACACTTTTGACCTGGGAGCAGCTCTTGGAACGGCTGAACATACGTATATGCAATGCAACACAAGACTTCATCCAATCCATTTTTCTGAGGTACATGAAAGCTGAACCAGAGGGCCGAGCACGGTATCGTTCTGTCTTGTCCCAGGCCTGGGGTGATTGCCACTTTGTATGTCCAGCTAACAAAATTGCCTCAGAGATGGCAAAGACTGGAAGCCCTGTCTATGCTTACACTTTCACCCATCGCAGCAATGGCTCCATCTGGCCTGAATGGATGGGGTCCAACCATGGATCTGAGGTCCCATACCTTTTTGGAACTCTGACCTTATTACCAGGAACCAATGTAACTCACACAGAGGAAGAGTTAGAGCTAATCCCCCGAGTGATGCGATACTGGGCGGAGTTTGCCAGAAGCGGGTAAGAGAACTGCTTACTTATGCCTGTTCATCATCCCTGGCTCAGAAGGTAGTGCTTCCCTAAAGTTTCTCTGTCACAGAACATGTTAGGAACTGGCATCTACTTTAAATACATGCCAGTGTCTGTCACCTGTGAGAGGAAATCGCAGCTAGAAATAACTTTAACTACATTCATTGGTTCATTGAATTTGTTTCATTGAGACATTTGAGAGCCAGTTTGGTGTCATGGTTAGGAGCGTGGACTCTAATCTGGGAGAACCAAGTTTGATTCCCCACTCCTCCACGTGCAGCTGCTGGTGTGACCTTGGGTCAGTCACAAGTTCTTTCAGAGTTGTTCTCTCAAGAGCAGTTCTCTCTCTCAACCCCACCTCCCTCACAGGGTGTCTGTTGTGGGGAGGGGGAGGGAAAGGAGATTTTACACCACTCTGAGACTCCTTCAGGTAGTGAAGAGTGGAGTATAATTCCAATCTCCTCCTCTTCCTCTTTTTCTCCTTCTTCTTTTGTGCATTTTTATCCTACCTTTCCTCCAAGGGGCTCAAGGCAGTGCACAGTGTTCTCCCCTTGTCCATTTTAATCTCATGACAACCCTGTGAGGCAGCTAGGCTGAGAGAGAGAGAGGCCCCAAAGGTCACCCAAGCAAGTTTCATGCCAGAATCAGGATCTGAACATGGATTTCCTGGGTACCTCACTCCAACCATTCCACCATGCTGACTTTTATGCCCTTCTTGTGGACAATACCATTTCTCTTCTGCCTTTCGATATTAAACTTCCAAGTTAACTAATAGGAGTTTCCATTTGGCTTCCCCAAGCTGGAAAAAATACTGATTTAATGCCTTGCCAGCATTTATCCACTAATTCTGAAGCTGAATGCACTTTAGAGAAGCTATATGTATAGCAGATTAGAGAACCCCTGAATCAAGCAGGACAGAATCTGGCTTTATTTGGGATTCTCTAATTGCGTCTAATAGCAGCTATAAAGTTGAAAGGGCTACACTTACCTTTCCTTATTTCCTTTCTCTGATTTCCTACCATTTGCTCTGGTTTCCATGGCAACAGGAGGGAGAGGGAAGAGGCATCTCTGCAGGACCATTGGCTAAAGCCCCTTTGGGGGAGGTTTGAGCCAATCAGGGCAATTTGCTTCTGCAAATGGCATTGCATTGGTTTGCAAACTGCATTTGCAATTGCTGTCAACTTGTTGGTTTCAAAAGGCTGGATGAGAGAGGTCTTTGGCTTGGAGGGACTGGCTGCCTGCCTGGCTTTTTGCTTCAACCGCTGCTTCTCTCTGAGCCTGCCTGACTCCTGCTGCCTGAAAATCTCCTGGACTTTGGATCGGATCCTGCCCACCTGGAGAAGACAGTGAAGGGTTTGACTTACAGTATTTTTAAAAAAGAAGTTTCCTTCTTTTACTGTTCCTTGTTCTTTGGGCCTTGTGGGTGGGTTGTGGGTGTGTGTGGCCTAGGCTGTGGCCTGAGGCCCAGTGTTTGGTTCTCTTTGGCCCCTGCCACACGGCAGGGAAACCACGAGGCAAAAGCGCGGCTAATAGAGCCGCTCCAACGTTGAGACGCTGCGGCGGGATCCCACGGATCCCCTGGCGTTCCATTTAGTTTGGTTCTAGTAGGCAGACTTCTGGTTTCATGTTGTTGGAGTTTGGAGTTCTGTGGCTTTTGCCTTGTTTTTTGCAGTGGGCCTTGAGATTGGGGGGGAGGCGTGTGGCCTAGACTGAGGCTTCAGGCCTAGTTCTTGGGTTTGGGAGGGGGCGTGTCCTGTTCTGTGTGTGTCTGACTCCACTGAGTCAGTGAGGGTTGGTATACTGCTCCTGAAGAGAGAGGAGGATCAGGGTGAACACACAATCCCCTCCCTCTCACTTTCTGAGGGGAAATGTTGCATAAGGTTTCTCAAGGATTTGCCCTTGGCTTTGGAAGAAAACAAAGCATTACTGGGCTTCTGTGTATTGGGCTGGCCTTACTTCAGGTGGGCCAGCAAAGGCGCATGAACACCATGCATTTTTTAAATTTTTCATAGACATAAACAAACTTACAAATAACATATATAGGGGATTACAATCTTATGTTTTTTCCTTTTCAATTTCTTTGACCTCATAATTGGATTTAAAAGCCTAGTAATTTTTCCATCTTATATGTTCGTCATATACCTTATATACCTTTTATTAATAGTTAAAACCAATGTTCCCTCTAAGCTGTGGAGTCATGTGAGCAAAAATTCGACTTTGTGAGCTACCGGCATCAAAGTTGTGAGCGAGCGATTTGGCTACTGCATAAATTAGTTTGCTCTGGAGCCCTCCTTCCTGAGCTAAGACAAAAATGTGTGAGCCGGAGGCTAAAAAACTGTGAGCTGGCTCACACTAACTTAGCTTAGAGGGAACAGTGGTTAAAACTATATTTCATAGGTCTATATAGTTAGGTTACTCAGTTAGGAAACTCTGTCTCCTGCCTGGGGAAGGAGGGTGTGTGAGTTGGCTCATCTCATTGTCTCTTTCCCCAGATCTATTAGCATTTCCATGGCAGGTGATTGACCTAGCTTCCTGCCCTTCAAGATGGAAGAGGGGGAAATATGACATTTTTAAAACTCAGGGGGCGAAAATGCCCCCCAAAGTTTCTAGTTCAGAGATTCTCTGGGTTGACCTTACTCCTCCTGTTGGGTTTTGGCACTGCCACAGTGGCATTGGTTCTGCTGGGTACATTGCACTGTTTCTGCTGCTGGCCTTCCAAAGGTCCCACACACACACACACTTTATTGCAGAGATTCTGCAGGGCTTGTATTGCTTGGCTATTTCCCCCTATTGGAAACTACGGAGGATAGGGGCATCCTCTTTGGGTGCCCACAGAATTAGATCCCCTGGTCCAATCTTTTTGAAACTTGGGGGTTGTTTTGACAAGAAGCTCCAGCAGCTATGTTGCCGATCTGCTGCCTCTACGTCAAAAAACAGGCCCCCCAGACCACTGAATATACTCCAGGGAGGATTTGTCTTTGCCTTCAATTGCCCCATTAGGTATAATGGACCAGAAAAATTCGGGATTCTCAAATTTTGGTATTTGGGCAATTCTGTATTTAACAATGTTTTTTAGGTCCAATGAACCTGAACCCGAAAAATACCGGATTATTATTTTTGCACACCCCTAGTAACTAGTGAAAGCTTAAAAACAATTACTTTCCCAGAAGAATGAAATAACAATAAATCAGAAAGGTTTTTTTAAAAAAAAATAATAATCACATAACAGATGCAGCAAAAAGCAAAAAAGAAAGTTTGTCTTTTGGGGAAATAAAATTGGCTGGACCGGGTGCCCAAAAGACACTGGAGCAGATATCTGGCACCTATATCCAGGGAGAATATTCCACAACTGGGGCTTCCCCACGGAAAAGCCTTTGGTCTGGTCATTGTCTGCCTAATTTTGGAAGTCAGGGTTATGTGAGTCACGACCTCTGTGGAGGATCTTAAATGGTAGCCCTATTAGTTTGTGGTGCCATTAACAAGGCCCAGGTTCTTAGATACATGTTGACAGTGATGAAAGCTTTTCCAGCTCTAACTAATGTTAAATCAGTACTCTAATTACAAATTACAAAGCTGAATGGAATATGTTGTGGGGACCTTACCAAGGAATGTATTTTACTGGTTGCATTTTTAACATTGTAATCCATCTTGAGTCTCCGTGAGATAGGTAAAGTTAGTAAATGAATAAATACATAACTAGGCAACATATATTGTGTACCTTACATAGACCTCTGACTTCATGGATCATGATATTTTTGCCTTCTGTGCAGCAATCCCACCCCTTCAGATGTCGGAGAGACAAAATGGCCACTCTACAACCCTGCAGAGCAGAACTTCTTTCGCATCAGCACAGAGCCACCTCAAGTCATGAAGCCCTCACCCGCCCAGCACTGCTGTTTCTGGAGGGCACCCTTATCAGAGGCATTATGCCCAAGTGAGTTGAGGCCGTGAAAGGGGGAGGGAGACCCAAAGCCATTCCCTGAGGTAGACATTGCCTCATAAACTGTGGTTGAGTTGGAATCTGGGTCACCCAAGAGTTGATAGCACAATGCTAAGGCTGTTCTGGAATTGCTTAGGATAGTGACTGACCCCCTCCATTATAATTCCTGCACCAAAATTGTGTCGTGCCAGACGTGTGTCAGGGGAAGGTGCAGGACTCGTCTCTGTTTCCTTTGCCTCCATCTCCACTAGGGACAGGCATGAACTGGGACACGAAGCAAGATCTGTATCAAATTTGGGGCAGTCCAGGGTCTGGGAAACAATGTTCAGTGAAGCACATGCTCCATGGACATCCCCCACAGGTCTGGGAAATGGTGGAATTCTCTCCAGCCTTGGAAATGACAATTGGGGCCCACCAAAGCTTGGCAGGCACTGCTGGCTGCCAATTAGAGAGCTCCCATTCACCTTCATGGGATCTGAAAACTATATAAGGAATGGGCAGAGCCCCACGTTCCTTTGTTGGGGGTTTGCAGTGAGAAGGAGAGGATCAATATTGTATTTGTGAATTGGCGATTAATGTTGGCAGAGTGTAGATATGCAGTAAAGCGGAGCACAAGCTGTTTAAAGAAGAAGGTTGGTTTATTAAGAAGAGAACCAACTTTGTAGGAAAGAGGAGAGAGAAAGAGAAGGAAGTCTTAAGTAACTCAGGTGTGTCAAACATGTGGCCTGCAGGCTGGATCTGACCCCTGCAGGGCTCCTATCCAGCCCTTGAGCAATTGGCTCCCTCCTGCTTCCTTCTCCAGTTCTGCTACTCCTGCATTGCAGCTTGCTTTGCCAGACTCTCTCAATCGCACAGGAGAGATAGATAGGCAAGCCTCTGTTCTCTGCATTGGTTGAGGCTCCTCCCCCTCCTCCTTCCTGGGGGAGGAAGGGAATGAGCCAAAGCTTGCTTTCTGGCCAGGCTCCCTCAATCACAGAGGAGACAAAGGCAAGCCTTTCTTCCCTTCCACTGGCTGAGGGTCCTTCCCTTTGCTTGGCTGCCTCAATCGCATGGGAGAGATACAAAGCACCTTTAAGACCAAAAAAGTTTTATTCAAGGTATGAGCTTTTGTGTTCCTTGCTACAGTGTGTGTGTGTGTTTTGTTGGGCTCGTTATGCTGTATGTGTGTGTTTTGGGGCCTGTTATACTGTGATTCTCCTGGGTGCAACTGGGTCTGCCTCCCCTTTATCTCTGTATTCATGCCCTCATGATCCAGTCTTTCTTAGTAGAAAAGCAATTTGAACTATTTAAATGAGGAATAACAACAAGCAGTGAGGTGGATTAGGTTGAGAGTGTGTGTCCAGACCAAGTTCACCCAGCACATCTCATTTGTAGACTGGGGATTTTGAACCTAGACTTCCCAGATAGCAGGCTGATACTGACCGCTATACATGGCTGTCTCTCTATCCTTGCAGTGCCTCATAGGAGTTGCAGTTATTTTTCTGGGAAGACTATAGTTTTGTAGACAAAAACATAGCCCTCACTCTGCATCATCATGCCTTCATGTGTTCTTGAACAGCACACAAAGCAGTTTATGTACAAAAGATTGCAATGCCGCCTAGCCGTTTCATGATTTGAAGATTACAGATACACACCTGAACCACATACTCAAGATTACTACAATACAAACGTTTTGATGCAATAATTCAGAACAAGAGGTGTCAGTTATCAGAGACTGTTAAATGAACAAAATATTGCAAGAGTGCTAATGTTTTAAGCATGTTTTTATTTTAAGTTTAAAAAAATCTTTAATTGTGTTTGTGTCCTTTATAAAGTTTATATGTCCGCTACCTGGCATTACATTCAGGGGTCATTTCCTGCAGGAGTGCACAGGAGTGGAGCTCCGGCAGTAAAGAGCCCAGGGGGCAGGCAGATGCAACAAGCCCCACCCACTGCTCCCAGCAGCCCTGGGCTACGAGGAGCACAAGGATCTCCGCGTCCCCCCCACCTTAGCTAGCAATCCAAAACAGTCCAGTGGAGCCTGAGCAGTGAGTGTTGCCTTCTGACACACTTCCGGTGATACCAGGGGGTGTGGCATATGCAAATAAATTATGCTAATGAGTTATGCTAATGAGCTCCTGCACCTCTTTTTCTACAAAATGACCCCTAATTACATTACACATGGCCCAGGCTTACAAGGTCTCATTTATGGCATATCCAGCCCACATAACAAATGAGTTTGATGCCCTTGGTCTAACTAGCTAGGAGGGAGTTAGTAAACTAATAGTTCTCAGCAGGAGCAAGAAAGAAGCCTAACTAAGCCAATCAGGAGCCAAGAAGGAGACTATCTGAAAATAGTAAAACGTCCCTAATCTCACCATGCTAACTAGTTGTCCCCTCTGCTGCCCTCTGCAGGATGTTTTTGTCATTTTGTTTATCTATGCATGATAGAACTTGCATATTCCAACACCCCTTTTCAAGGTCTAGTGTGCAAAGTCCCCAAGATTCATTTCATGCAGAAGTAGCTTGGTAAGTGCATCTGCAATCATATTTTCTGTAAGATGGGATCCACCATTTTTGTGGGCTTGTCCCCACCCCCAGCAGTGATGTCACTGTGCAATGTCAACAATGCAATGACGTCACCCGGAAGTGATGTCATCACATCAGTGATGTTGCGTGGTAATGCTCTACTTTGGGGGCAAAACTCTGTGGTAAAATCTGCTACAAACCATAGTTGCCCAAATAGCAGAGCATCACCACATGATGTCCACGACGTGATGATGTCACTTCCGGGTGATGTCATAGTGCTCTGGGGGCCTCCCTCCTGGAAAATTCCCTCCCACTCCCCACTGGCATAAGGTAAGGACCTGGCAACCCTAGCAATACTCCAACAATTCCTTCTGCATGTATCTTACAAGATAACACTTTACATCTATGTGTTTAGTCCTTGAATTAATTATTTCGGTTTGTGCAAGCTTTATGCATCCCTGATTATCTTCAAAACATTGCACTAGTCTGGGTTCTTCCATCCAAAAGTCCTGCATTAACTGTGGTATCCGCTTTAGTTGTTTGCATGCTTCTGCTGCAGATACAAACTCTGCCTCTGTGGAGGTTACCGCCACAGTCTCTTGTTTTCTGCTGGTCCAGCTGACTGGTCCATTTCCATACAAAAATAAATGTCCTCTGGTTGACTTCCTGTAGTATCTGTAGTATCTCCTGCCCAGTCTGCATCCATGTATCCCATCAATTTGGGATTGTCATTTGCTGGTAATTCCAGTTTTAGATGAGCAGTGTTATGAAGATATCTGGCAAGTCTTTTTACTGCATTCGAGTCTCTTTTACTTGGTGACGTTGTTTCTCTGCATAGTATGCCCGCAGCTGCTGTGATGTCAGAGTGTGTAAGCATGCTTATGTACAGCAGTCTTTCAATTGCTTCCCTGTACTGTTTGTTACTTTGGCCACCAAATGAGAAGGGAGCACTCACTGGTGAAGACCCTGATGCTGGGAAAGATTGAAGGTAAACGAAGAAGGGGATGGCAAAGGATGAGATGGTTAGACAGTGTAATAGATGCAACGAACATGAAATTGAGCAAACTCCGTAGGACGGTGGAAGACAGGAGGGCCTGGCGTGATGTGGTCTATGGGGTCGCGAAGCACCGGACTCAACTGTGCAACAACAACAACTGCTTGTTGCTGGTTAGAGGTTCTTCATTCCCTTGTTGCTTCAGGTAGTTTGCCTCCATAGGAGTGCCTACTGGTTTGGATTTTCTCATTTGCATATAGTCCTGAAATTCTAGGATTTTTCTGTTTTTTGTTGAGGAAGTGTGGGTGCACACAAAAGCTTATACAATATGAATAAAACTTTGTCAGTCTTAAAGGTGCCACTGGCCTCAAACATTGTTTAACTAGCCACACTGTGGTGGCTGTCAGTAGCTCACACTGGAGTGGCTGGCCAGGATTTCACTGCCATGAAGATTACCTTCAAAAACGTCCCAGTGGCTCTAGTCATTTTGGGAATGTAGATAGCTTAAAAATACAAGGGATGAAAACAAATCTCTTTTACAGGCTAGGAATGAGAATCTAACAGTCCTTGCAGCGTGGCAGTGTTTCCTTCCCTCTCAAACCATGCTCAGCTACAGTCCAGGCTAGGGTTGCCAAATGTACTCACCCCTTGGAGCGGGGGAGCCTCACTGGGCTCCGGGAGCTCTTGCCGGATGCGCACGCGCGCCGGCAGCACATCACAGGAAGTTATGTGCTTTGTGCTCATGTTGGGGGCATGGCCCAGATTGTCGAGAGGGAAAACCATATGGTTTTCCCTCTCGACAATCTGGGCCATGCCCCCAACATGAGCACAAAGCACATAACTTCCTGTGATGTGCTGCCGGCGCGCGTGCGCATCCGGCAAGAGCTCCCGGAGCCCAGTGAGGCTCCCCCGCTCCAAGGGGTGAGTACATTTGGCAACCCTAGTCCAGGCTCAGACCTTTTCAGTAGCTGCTTCCGGGGCAGCCTTCTGGCTCCTGCCTTCCTGGCTTTCTCCACAGAGAGTTATTTCAGAGAGGTTTGGGGGCAGCCAGAACCTGGGCAAATGGAGAGCACCCTGTTGATGGGGAGGCGTAGGGTGCTTTTAGATTAATTTTTATAAATGTTGTCTTTTAATGTTTACTTTATCAAATTGTTGTTATTGTACGGTCCTTCTTGCTGTTTTCACAACCCGAGTCTTAATCAGCAGACCCTCATCCCACAAGAGGAGAGCCTAAAAGCATAGGAGGCATCCTTTCAAACAGAGCTGCCCATTTGTCACCTCAGTCTTTAGTTAATCATGAATTACTGATAGATCTTAGTTCTCCCTCTGCAGAAGAGAGGATGAAACTGGCTAATCATGTAGTGCGTGAAAGAGTCCCCCCTCCAGCACCCTGGATTAATGGTGTTGAGCATGCCCATATAAAGGACCTGCCACCTTTTGAGAACGAACCTCTGACGATTCACTCCTTTTAACACCATCAATACTGAAAGGAAATGGTTGTTTGGGTGGTCACATGATAACACGTTTGTTTCTGGGTTATCTGATCTAATTCAGTGGGAGGTTCATTTTCCAGACGTTCTTTCTTGCCACAGGTCACCCTTCTAATGATTCTGTTCCGGCCAGTCCAGAAGGCGATAAGAAGCCAGAAATGTGAATTAAGGAAAATGCATATGGATGGAGAAAGAGGATGGTATGAATTTGGAAGGAAGAAGACTAAAGAGGCAATGGACGACAGAGGAAATCTCAAGTGTATACCTTCATTTTTTAATTTAAATTCAGAGTTGATTGTACTAGTTTCCGTTGACTGATTTTAAGAGATAAAATCCAGTAACCAGCTTCCTCTCACCTTCTTCTCAGGCACAATCAAATCTACATTCATTTGACTAAATTAACTGAGTCTCCTGAGGTCTCCTTCTGCTTCAGTGTCCCTTTGTTTCATGCACATCTTGCCTTTGATTTGATGTGAAGACTGTGCAGGTCTGTCAACACACCCTGAATCTTGTGGAGAACAAGCTTGCGGAACAGAGTGAGGACATCCTTTAGGGTTGCCAGGTCCCAGGTGGGAGCAGGGTTCCTGCCCCACCCCCAACAGCCACAACCCAGCATGATGTCCCCAATGTCACATGGAAGTAACATTATCTCTCTGGGACATCATGTGGCAACACTCTGGTACTTTGGGCAACGTTATGGTGGTAACCATAGAGTTCTGCCCAAAATACCATAGTGTTGCAGCACGATGTCCCCGGTGTGATGACATCACTTCTGTGTGATGGAATTATGTCAGGAATGTTGTGTGCCCCCCCACTCCCAGAATGCTCCCTTCCCCCCCCCACCAACAACTTTTCTGGTGCCCACCAAGTGGTTTTAGAAAGTAACTGCAGCCAGGTGGGACTTTTGACCAGCAAGGCTTCTGATTAGGCTGTGCAGACTTTTAAAACTTTGCTTTGGCAGCAGCTTCTGCCACAGCACAAGGATCTTCACTATGTGACTGAGGGTGAGCTGTGGGGCCTCAAGGTTAAATGCACACAAATAAAGCAGACCTTTGTAAAATATATAAAGCTTTATTGGACAGTTTAAAAAAGTAATATCACACCTTCTTGTAGCATAAGAATCCAAGATATAGACTAAAATGTTCTATTTCATAGCTGTACATCATGATGTAGCATAACATATCAAAGCATACTACCATGGCCTATAGCTGCCTTATTATAGTCATTTTGCCCTTTGGCACCAGGTGGTGTCTCAAATCCAATCAGGAGTCTCCTTTGATGGAACTTTCCTGAAGATGTTGGTGTCCCTCCTAATTCCCCTCTCCTGTCTAGTTACATTACTGAGCACAGATCTCACCATTAGCCAATTAACACATTCAAGTTGTTTTAGAAAGTAGCTGCAGTAAGGCGAGGCTTTTGCCCAGCAAGGCTTCTGATTAGCTATTCGAGATTTGATTGGCTGTGCAGATTTTTAAAACTTTGCTTTGGCAGCTTTTTCTACCACAGGACCTTCATGGTGTGACTGAGGGTGAGCTGTGGCAGCCATTTTGTTTCTGCACCAATGTGTCATAATTCCAAAGATGCTCACAGGCTCAAAAAGGGTGGGGTCCCGTGAACTAGGGAAAGTGAATATGGTTGCCAACATCCAGATGGTGTCTGGAGATCTCCTGCTATTACAACTGATCTTCAGGAGGCAGAGATCAGCTCACCTGGAGAAAATGGTCACTTTATAAATACAGCATTTTACCCCACTGAAGTCCCCCCCTCCCCAAACCTCAGGCTCCACCCCAAAAATCTCCAGTTATTTCCCAGCCCTGAGCCAGCAACCCTAAAAGAGGATCATATTTATCACTCAGCATATGTTCTCTTTTTCCGTTGTTGTGAGGCAGTTCTTCCTCAATTTTAAGTTTTACCTTTTGTGATCAAGCAAAATGAAATATCTCCTTTTTGGTGTGAATTTGGGCTTGTTGGCATCATTCTGCACCAAGATAAAAAGTCTTATTTTAATCCATGCTATCCAAGGAATCCAATGGAATCAGGAAAGTCCTCAAGCTCTTAGTCTGAGGCAGAGTCTTTGCAGACAGAAATAGACAGTAGCTGGTGTGGAAATGGCTCTGAATTGACGACGCTCAGTTATGAATTATGACAGGTAATGGATTGCATGAAATACAGCTAGTACAAATGCATTCTTCGTAACATAGGCAGGAAACAGATCCTTTCTTTAAGAGAACTGAAAATTGTATTACTGAGACATTCATTGCCTGAGGGGTACACTCATCCCTCTATTCTCTATTCAGACAAAAGGATTTTAGTGGTGCTCAAAAACTTACACCATGTGTTTCCTCAGAGATACAGTCTGTAGGGGGGAGACAAATAAATGTGTGAAGCAAATGAAATTTTACCCGTAATGAACTCTTTCAAAACCAGCTTTTGATCTCTCTAGTCATCATATTCTGCATCATGTGAGGAAACCCAAGAGACAATATCATCTGGCCACTAGGTGGCACCATGATACAAAATATATTTTGAAGAGACACCCAATAGTGTAACAAAAATTATTCTGGCATAAACTTCCCTGAGTCAGAGCTCGCTTCTCCAATGCACAATGCATTTATAGGTGAGGGGTGGGGATCTTACAAAGAGATCCCATCGAGAAGAGTAAACAGTTCAAACCCGTGTGGGTGAGGACCATGCCCAACTGTTTATAAAGTAGGATTAAAATTGAATCTGACACAAGATAAGCGGATCCAACTGGAATTTGCTATGGACTCCCTGAAATAATTAAATAATTAAGGGGGTGGGATATCAACACAGCTATGGCGAGTGAGAAATACAAGCTCTTTGTTAAAACTCAGATGGAGTGTTGAACTTATTCCTGAGTTCTAATTCCACAGTTTCATAATACAAGCTCTTTGTTAAAACTCAGATGTAGTGTTGAACTTATTCCTGAGTTCTATCTAATTCCACAGTTTCGTGTTTCTTTTCTTATTATAACTTCATACATTCTTACAAAACGCTAGGAAAGGGTGGTGGTGACTGTCTTCTCACCAAGCTTGTTCCCCCTAGCAGGATCGTGTTGACAGCAAGTGAACAGTTTATCACTACTGCCTTGTCGAGCACAGGAACCAAATGTACCCATCACATAGTTTGGCAGCCTAGCAAGGTGGTCTGCAGGGTCTATCCCTGGCTGAGCTGTGTGTCTCTTCCAGACTGCTTCATGTAGAGCCCTGCCTTGCCAACCTTGACCCCCCCCCCTTTAAACGCCCTCTAATACAGAGAGAATTGAGAGGCAATCCACCAGTGTACTCTGAGCCTGCTGGCATATCATTTCTTCCCATAAAGCTGCCTAAAGCATTTTGATTACATTAAAAATAGGGGTTTTGTTCTTTATTTACATAATTTATTTAATAAGGAAGGTGTGGCGGGGAAGGAAATGGTCTTGAGTCTCTGTATTTTGTTTCAGTTTGCCTGAACACGGTTTATTAATGGGAATTACAAACGTGAGTGGAATATGTTGCAGAGACTTTACTATTTTTAACTGTACAAAGTTTGAGTCCAGTGGCACCTTTAAGACCAACAACGTTTTATTCAAGGTATAAGCTTTTGTGCGCAAGCACACTTCTTTTAACTGTATAATGTACCTTGAGTCTCAGTGAGACAGGTGGACAGTAAACAAAGCTAATTTTATTTATTTTATTTTATTAGATTTGTATCCCACCCTCCCTGCATAGCAGGCTCGGGGTGGGTTCCATCAATTACAATATACAAAAACTTTAAAATAATTAAAATACATAGGGTTGCCGGGTCCCTCAAAATCCCCAGCAGGGGACTTGGGGGGGAGGGGGCATTACTGGAAGTGGTGGGGAGCTCCCAGTGTGATGATGTCACACAGAAGTGGCATCGTCACGTTGGGGAGTGGAAACCCCCGCCTCTCCCCAGAAGAGTTTAAAGGGTCTCTTTAAACACTGCTGGGGGAGGTGCACACGCCTGCACTCTGAGACCCAAATTCGGGGTTTAGAGTGCAGGCACGCAGCCCCCGCCTCTCTCCAGCAGCGTTTCAACGTTGTTGGGAAGAGGTGGGGAGGAGGCCGGGTGGTCGCTCTTGGAGCGGGGCTTCCCCCACCTGCCAGCTGGCTGGTGGGTGGGAAGGAGCTCCTCCAAATCGGGAAACCCCTGCCAAACCAAAAATACATTAGATAAAAATGCAACAATATTCCTACGTGCTAATAGGATGAGGTTTTTCAGATTGGGGTCCCTAAATGGTAAACATAGATCTGACTCGCTGAAGGGGAGGCCCAATGGGGGGGAAACCCCTGCCACCTCAACTAAGAGCCTGGTGGAAGAGCTCTTACAGGCCCTGCAGAACTATAAACGTTGAGGGGCAACTTTGCATTGGCACCAGAGCTCTCTCAGGTCCCAGCCGCAATGATGGCAAAGAGTCCCGCCTGCCAGCGCCCACTCAAAGAGCTTGATGGCGTCCACAACTCCTTCACAGACATTGTTGGCCATCTAACCGGCATCGACTCCAGCCGCCTCTCCCTCTCCCCCTTTCTTGACCTGGACACCCAGATCTCTTTGTCCCTCATCTCTGATGGCCCCAAATCTTTGGTGGAAGAGCTGCACTGTACTGAGGACGAGGACACCCAAGAGGAGAATGATTGCAGTCTGGTCATGGTGGAAGTTGGTAGCAGTGGACCTGATGGGTCAACCTCCGATTTCTGTGCTGCAGGAAGGAACCAACAATGTGGTGCAGGGTGCTGCTCTTCAAGATGGGATGCAGACCATAGCCATCAAGATGTCCAATGAGGCATCATTTCTGGATACTTTCTAGCCACTATTGGGAAGCCCACGGAAATTCGTGGCACAGCAGGACCAACTTGCACTAGACATGTCCGAACAGCACAAGCATCAGCCCTTCCTGGAGGAGAAAGCCATGAACCCCATTTCTCACCAAGGTTTGGGGGATTCATTCCCTCATTCCTATTGTTGTCATGGCTGCTCCAGCGACCACATGAAGGCTGTGGCTTCCGTCTTCGTGGCCCTGCTGCTTGCACCATGGCTCATCTACGGGTCTTACTACTACCTGCCTCTCGAAGCTCCCACCTGTCCGAACCTCACCAGCCGCATCGCATTCGCATGTGCTCTGTCTTGATGGTCGGCTTTC